TTTAAACCCCAATCCTCACATTTCAGCCTCCTGAGTAGCTAGGATTACAGGCTTGAGCCACCAACATTCAGCTTGAAACTGTGTGTTAAGTAGGAAAAATTGTGAATTGTCATTCGGTCTTAAACCATCTATAAAATGGCAAGGAACAAAGAGGGAAGACCAAAATAAATGCCTCTAGTGCTGTTGTTTCAAATAATTTAGGCTTCCAGAAGATGGAAAGTTTGATTACAAAAATCTCAAGGGCTCCTGCAAATGAGGACTAAACAACAGAATTCCAGAATTTATATTTTAAAAGAAAAATCTCTTTATTTCCCCTAAGTTCTTTCCTAGCATAAACAGTAAAAAAAAAAAAAAAAAAAAGGCAGGCAATCGATTTTCTCAAAGAGCCAGGAACTTATATTTTACAGGTGGCTCAACAGGAATTTATCTAAGACCCACAACTCTAACAAAACTCAGAAGGAACCCACAGACTCCTGGGCCCGCCATTCAGCAACCCGGTGTTATGACAAATTAACTTGAAAATCAGTTCCTAGAGTAGCAATTCCGGATGGTAAGTGAAGGGGGATTGGTGTAGGGTCCACACATAAATGAAGCCATGATTTTCTGAGTCTTCACAAGATGACCACCAAGACCTATTGGCTGTTTTCATTTGAATATGAAAAGTTCTCAGCTTTCCTTGTGTCTTCCCCTGAAATTCGCTCATTTATACCAATAAAGAACTCTAGGCAGCAGGGCCTATCTAGTAACCATTTTCACACTGCAGCTAGGTTGTACAGACTCCTAAAAGTTGTTTTTTCTGTTCAATCACAAACGTTTTAGCACTTTTGGGAAAAGAAGGAAATGTAATGTTCTTGTCAGGAAATCAATCATATGGGCTTATAACGCTCCATTAAGAAGAACATACTAGAACAAGTCCAAAGAAGCCATGTGATTCACCCATGCTGTCACAGTGCTGGTGTTTGAACATGCTAAGCAGTGGGTGGAAGCACTTTTTATGTATAGTCACAATAGTCCTCAAAAACATGTGTGTCCACACTTTTTCGAATGTAACAGGACCAAAATTGTTCTGACTACACGTCAAGAAAAGGTTTCGACTATCTAATAATTTAGTACAGCCTAACAGTTGATTTTATGTCATGTACTTTGAGTTCTCACAACTCTGAGAAGTCTATATCGTATTTCATGCAGCAAGGTAACAGTTAACTGCAGTAATTTTTTTATTATGAGCAAAGACTGCCATCTGGTGGCAGCTGTGTGTATAACAAAAAATATCCCACGAAGCCAGAAGTTTCCTTTGCCTTCATTTAACATTCTTCAACTTAATTTGATTCTTCCATTGATGTACACACATCATTGTTGCTTGTAATTAAATGGTGAATTTTTTTTTGGGTCCGGTCGTGGGGCCTGAACTCTGGGCCTGGGCGCTGTCTCTCAGCTCTTCAGCTCAAGGCTAGTGCTCTACCACTTGAGCCACAGCGCCACTTCCGGCTTTTTTTTCTTTTTGCTTATGTGGTGCTGAGGAATTAAACCCAGGGCCTCAAGCATGCAAGGCAAGCGCTCTACCACTGAGCCACCTTCCCAGCCCTAAATGGTGAATTTTTAAGTGTCATTTTAAGCTTGATTTAAAAGATTCCTGTGCAGATTTGCAAAGAGAACATGTCTGTTGATTTACTGTAAGAATTCACCTTATTGAAGTAAATGGTGGGACAAAGGGTGAACAAATGCAGCAGTGGTACTTACTAGACACTATGTTTAAAATGAGCTGTATAAATTATGGGGTGGTGTCAGGAAGGGAAAACTTGGAGAAAATGAGGGAAGGGGTGACATTCTTCCAAAAGAAATGTACTCATTACCTGACTTATGTAACTGTAATCCCACTGTCTACCACCTTTACAATGATAATTTTTTAAGAAGAATTCACCCTATCAATATTTTGCTTTAAGTTCATTATCTTAGATCTTTTTTATAAACAGGAAAAACTATAAAGCATTGTTGTTTGGTATTGAACCTATTGGTTTTCAGTTGTCATTTTACCAGGATTCTTTACTAAAATGCAAAACATATATCAATACACCTTGGTGACAACATTTAAAACTTTGTGCATGTAACATAAATATTATTGTCATCTTATAAATCTTTCCTGGTATGTACACTTTATTTTACTGAATTTGCTTTAATTAATCCTGCCTCTTATTATATAAAAATTGGGAGGTGGTGAGAGCTTTCTGTTAGCATTTGGAGCATGAGTTATGACACAACTCTTGACTCGGAGCACACTTTAATTCACTATTCCAGGCCAGGATATAATCCGAGAATCTGGTCATCGTACTCTACCTTGACTAAGAGATATATGGCTTTCTGTGTGGCCAAAGACAGGTTCACCCAGCGATGCTCCACACCCTGAGCTGCAGTGCCATGGCACTCAATGGCAGGAGCGTTTATGTGGCTCCAGCCTACTTAAGAACCATGTCTTCTTTCCCCGCGATGAACTTCTGTCACCCAGCTGACTTGACCTAAAAACTCTGCAGTCATAGAAAGTCTTTTGAATTGTTGTCTTTAACTTCTGTTAGAATTGAAATGAGGAGATTATAATATGAATACTTCAATACATTGTAAAGCAAAAATACACTCCGAGATTAGAATAAGGACACAGAGTATGGGAATGAAGCATGGGGGTCTGAGATACCACTAAGAAGAAAGATAGGAAGAAGTCTCTGTGCAGGATTAGGGTCTCAGGCTGGGTGTAGGACCATTATGTAGTGCTTACCTGAGTACCAAGAGGCTCAGAGTTCCACTTCAAATCAGATTATAAGTTACTATAGTCACAAATAATAGAGTTACTCACTGACAATAGCATTTAAAATAGTGTCCACCTGTCCTTAAAGATGTCATCAACTGGCCCTCATTGATTCAAGCTTCAGAGCCCCACAATAATTGCATCAGTACGAATTAACCATACTTGGATTCATGGTACTTTAGGTGATCACAATCTCAATTCCAAACTTTTCTGTACTTCTGTACAATTGAGAATATCTTACAGTTATACTTCTGTGTCATCTCTGCATCCATAAACAGCTGCTTACTTTATGGTGAATCAGTTTAGAAGTTAATTTACCTAATGAGTCGCAATTGCATTGTATTTAAAATGGGAAAACCAGGAGACAATGACTTGTTTTGAGATTAGTATTACTGCTCATTTGACTATCAATTTCAAATATTCCCCCTGCTAATACACCCAAAATTGTATATATAAAGCCAACATAGCATGCATAGAAAAATAATCATAGTGGTTTAAAAGGTGTCTATAAAAGTATGAAGGGAAGTGGCGCTGTAGCTCAAGTGGTAGAGTGCTCGCCTTGAGCTGAAGAGCTGAGGGACAACGCCCAGGCCCAGAGTTCAAGCCCCACGACCGACAAAAAAAAAAGTATGAAGAAAAAAATATTAATAAGATAGGAAGAAGTTCCTGAGAGAAGGAAGAAAAGAAGACAGGAAGAGAGAGAGGGAAAAAGGTAGGAAAGAGAGAGAAAAGGAGTGAGGGAAGGAACGAAGGGAAGAAGGAAGGAAAAGGAAAGGAAATGAGGGAGGGAAGGAGGGAAAATGATGAGAAGAGAGGGAGAAAGGAAGAGAGAGAGGGAGGGAGGGGCGAGGAAGGAAGGAAGGAAGGAAGGAAGGAAGGAAGGAAGGAAGGAAGGAAGGAAGGAAGGAAGGAAGAAAAAGTGATGGCATCAAAAAGTGTCACAGGAGCCGGGCACCAGTGGCTCACACCGGTAATCCTAGCCACTTAGGATGCTGAGATCTGAGGATCATGGTTCAAAGCCAGCCCATCAGACTCTTATCTCCTATTAACCACCAGAAAACTGGAAGTGGCGCTGCAGCTCAGATGGTAGAGCGTGTGCCATTGTATGTGCACACTCAGGACAGGATAGCCTTGACCTGCGAGAAGGTCAAGAAAGCCAAATCTCAGGCGGAACCTAGGCAGGATTTGGAATCATTTCTTGGAGTTCAGAAGTATTCCTCTGTAAGAATCAGATATTGGGGGAGAGGGGGGGCGCGTTGTGGGCCTTGAACTCTGGGCCTGGGCACTGTCCCTCAGCTCTTCAGCTCAAGGCTAGCGCTCTACCACTTGAGCCACAGCGCCACTTCTGGTTTTCTGGTGGTTCACTGGAGATTAAAGTCTCATGGACTTTCCTGCTGGGGCTGGCTTTGAACCGTGATCCTCAGATCTCAGCCTCCTGAGCAGCTAGGATGACAGGCAGGAGCCACCCGCGACCAGCTGAGCATTAGATTTTTTAAGAGCTACAGTCTGTGCAGGGAGGGGGAGATGCCGAAAAACAAGAAGGGTGTTTCTGAGTTGAATTTCACTCCTTCTGAATGCCTCTGGCCAACGGTTCTCCTGCGACTCCAAGGTAAGATGACTTCCTCGTAAGCACTGAAAAGAAGACTAGATCGGTGGTGTGAGAACCCAGAAATGATGGATTTGATCAGCCTCAAACCTGTCCCAAGGCATTCTCCCACATTGGGTTAAATCATAGACCTCTCTCGAATTGAATTTCTGGGCTGTGCAACGTATGCTGGGCGATGGGACCCGCACGTCTTGCTCTAAGCAGCCAAGTGTTCTTCATAAACGTGGTACCATCCAGAGGCTCGTTCTGCTTGCAAGGAAGGAACGTGGAAGCGTCCATCCACCCACAGCACCTCGCGAATGCCACTGTGAATGAATGCACCCTGCCACAGACAGGGCAGGGGTGGGGGCCGGGATCTACCATGAAAGAATGAAATCAAAACAAGACAAGGGGAAGGGAAGGCAGGGAGGAAGGCAGATGAGAAGGGGAGGATGGGAGAGGAGAAATCCCTGTGGTACACGGCCTAGAAGCAAAGCCATTGTGGTTTTAGCCTCTTTGTGTTTGGTCCCCAAGCTGCTGTGCGCTCGGTCGTCACCAGCCGATCAGAAGTGGTGACTATAGGCAGTAAGCACAGGCTTTGTCTTCTTCCACCCTCAGGATCCTGGAGCTCCAGCAAAGTGGTGACATGGATATTTTGAAGCACAAATGGTGGCCTAAGAATGGCCAGTGTGACCTGTATTCCTCCGTGGACACGAAGCAGAAGGGAGGCGCCCTGGACATCAAGAGTTTCGCTGGGGTTTTCTGTATCCTGGCTGCTGGAATCGTCCTCTCCTGCTTCATAGCCATGCTGGAGACATGGTGGAACAAAAGGAAAGGCTCGCGAGTCCCATCCAAAGAGGTACTTGAGGCGTCTCTGCTCTCCCTTGAGTCACCTAGCAGGCCCAAGCGCCAGAGAGGGTGGCCACGGGGTTGGGAGAGGGGGTGAGGGGGACCAAGGCCAGGTGATCAGTGTTTCTGCTTTCTTGGAGGATCAGAAATGAATCGATGCAAAAGAAATTGATAGAGCCAAGATCAATTTCCATGTTAGATCCTATTTTAGGTAAGCAGAAAGCAGGTGAGAGTATTTGAAAGACTGGCCGTTCCACAAGATTGCTTTGGCAATCCCCAGCCTCTCCAGATAGAATTCAGTTGGGTTTCTGTTTGTTTGTCTTTGGTTGGGGGTCCGTTGTGGGGCTTGAACTCAGGGGCTGAGCATGATACCTGAGCTTTTTCTGCTCAAAGCTACTGTTCTACCACTTTGAGCCACAGAGCCGCTTCTGCTTTTCCGGTGATTTAATTGGAGATAAAGAGTCTGACAGACTTTCCTGCCCAAGCTGGCTTTAAACCACAATCCTCAGATCTCAGCCTCCTGAGTAGCTAGGATGACAGGCCTGGCTATCCGTTGAGTTTTTAAAGATGGGGTTTTTCCTGATCAATGTGCAAAGGGGCTTAATCTTTTATTTCCATGTGTGGTTCCACTTGCAGATAAATTACTTGTGTCTCAAAGACTTAGCCTAAAATGATGCAACATTATGATAAAAAATAATGGAATTGTCTCCTCACCACCACCCCCCCACTTCCCTTCTGCATCCCAGATCTGTAGAGAAGATCAAGTGTTTGGCCTTTTCATGATCTCAGCTGTGAAACTTGTGTCAGGGAGTGAACCCGAATTCCATTTTTCTTCCTTACTCTTGAGTGAGCTTAACTCCAGGACCATAATAGATTTGTTTCCTGATCCCTGGAAAGATCCTTGCAGAATTTATGCATGCTATGTCTTCTAAAACAATGTGTGTCTTGTTTCATCATAAATTATGGGCTTCATTAATTAGGAAAATAAACATTTAAAAGATTTATTTATCTTATTTGTGTTGGGGTGAAACCAAATATTTTGTGCCAGTCCTAGCACTTGAGCACAGGGCCTGGATGCTGTCCCTGAGTTGGTTTTTTTTTTTTCTCAAGCTGGTGCTCTTCCATTTGAGCCACAGCTCTATTTCTGGCTTTTATGGTGATTAATTGGAGATAGGAGTCTCGCAGGCTTTCCTGCCTGGGCTGCCTTTGGACTGTGATCCTCAGAGCAACTGGGATTACAGGTATGAGCCACCAGCACTCTGCAAGGGGTAATTTTTTTTTTAATAAGGAAATGACATTCACTAAATGCCTCTAAACTGGAAGTGAAAAGCCTCTTGAATTTGTTCAGTTATTTGACTTCATGGATAGGGTGTCAAAGAAAATTGGGAACTTTCTGGGGGTACAAGTTGGCTCACTGATGGTGGGGCATCTGTTTTACAGCCCAAACAAAAATCACTTATTTGCCTGTGCTTTTGCATGTTAGTATGTTCTTTCGAGCAGACTTTTTTCTCTTTTTTATTTTTTTATTGTTATTCTAAAGGGGATGTACTGAGGGGCTACAGTTATGTAGGTGAGGAAAGAGTACAGTTCTTGTTGGACAATGTCTCCCTTTTCCTTACTCTCTCCCAGTTTTCCCTTCCCATCCCCAAGGCAGATTGTTTACTAAAGTAATCAAAAGCTACAACCTACTGTGCAAAATTGATAAGTACCCTTTGGAAGGAAAATTTGTCCTAGCAAGGATAAATCTTAGCTTCTTATCTGTGAGAATGATCAGACATTCCGCATAAAGTGTGGACTGAATTAAAAGGTAACCCATTGTGCCAGGTGCTATGGCTATAATTCCAGCTACTATGGAGGCTGAGCTCTGAGGATACCAATTGGAAGCCAGCAGCATGTGCAGACGAATCTGAGACACTCTTATTTCTGATAAACCAGCAAAAAAAAAGCCTGAACTGGAAGTGTGGCTCAAGTGGTAGAGCACCAGCCTTGAATGAAAAAGCTAAGCAAGTGTTAGATGTCACAGGTTTAAGCTCCAGTATCAACACACACACACACACACACACACACACACACACACACATTAATCAATTGTTTTATTGTAGCATTTTCTTTGTGGACTAAGCTTCTAGTGTTTCTGTTGACATTGATGGAATACAAAAGCCCACATCCATTCAGCTTTATAGCTGAGACTTCATATTCTCAAAAATCTGGAAATTAAGGACTCCCTAAGCTCCTTATATTTTGAATTACTATATATGTTAAATTCTTGCATTATTATATCTGCTGATGGATGACTACATTATGGTTGCTGTGGGAACCATAAAATTATATGTCTCAATCCTCTAAAGTATCAATGATAATATTGCATTAATGGATATTTTTATTGGACTTTAAAATGAGAAAAGAGGAGGAAAACAGGGAGGCACATCAAAATATTTCTCACTAGGAACACAAGAGTGGCATAATGAGAAAAAGATGCACCTCATTCTAGCTTGTGACACTAATCCAGATCCTGTGAACAAATACCTTCTCTTCTGACAATTAATAGAGATTTTTAAATCCTCACACATTTAATTTGTTGAGCTTAACCATAAATTGATAGCGAGCACAATTTCATGTTTTACCAGCTTTCTTTTGAACTTACACTTCAATACTCACTTTTAGTGAAAATCCTAAAGGGATTTGTGTGTGTGTATATGTGTGTGTGTGTGTATGTGTGTGTGTGTGTGTGTGTGTGTGTGTGTGTGATATTGGTAAGGCTTGAACTCAGGACCTTGGCACTGTCCCTTAGCTTTTTAGCACAAGGCAAGTATCCTACCACTTGAGGCACAGTTCCAATTCTGACTTTTTCATAGCTAATTGGACATAAGAATCTCATGGACTTTCCTGCCCGGGCTAGCTTTGAACCACAATCCTCAGAACTCAGCCTCCTGAGTAGCTAGGATTATGGAGGGGACATTCTGTTAAAGGGATTTATTCATAGATTTTATCTTCCCCCCCCCAATTCTGAGATCATACTTTCTTTTTGTTTATTACAAAATGTCACTAGCATAACTTAAAAGATCTTGTTTAGAGCCAATTAGCATAAAACTCCTCCTAACTTAAAGGTGACTCCAAGTGTCTTCATCCATTCTACTGACCTCACAGTACTGCCTGGCTCAGATGCAAAGATAGTCAGTGTACAAAGTCTATCAATTACAAACTGATGCCTATGTGTCCAATGTTACTCTGTTTAAAAAACAAATGCTTCCAACATACAAGCAAATAGTCATTAACACTGTAGTAGCAGACCATATCTTTTCTCTCTCTCCCTCTCTCTCTTTTTTTTTTGGCCAGACCTGGGGCTTAAACTCAGGGCTTGGGCTCTGTCCCTGAGCTTCTTTTGCTCAAGGCTAGCACTCTACCACCTGAGCCACCACGCCACTTCTGGCTTTTTCTGTGTATGTGGGACTGAGGACTCAAACCCAGGGCTTCATGCATGCTGGGCAAGCACTGTACCACTAAGCCACATGGAAAGTTAAAGTCAGGACTTAAGTGAGGGGAAGGAAGAAAAATCCAATTTGGAATGAGACCATGGAAAGATATCAGTCTCATATAAAGAAGGGATGGATAAGGATAGAGGGAGTGGCGGACATGATAGCTTTTATTGGTGCAATTTGTCCTGGGCTTGTCTTTTATACAATGGTAATCATTCATCGAAAGCTCTCGGTGTCTTTGTAGCTGCATGTGGCGTGTGCTCATTTGAGAACGTTCGTGGCCAGACCGACGTTTACTGTAGATAGCTTTATCTCCAAATCCTATGGGTATATTCCCAGAAGCTAGCCCAATGCCTGGCCTCTACTAGGTGCTCAGTAAATATTTGTTAAACTGAATAAACCCCCAAGTTCAGTTTAATTACATGATTTTGCTGAACTACTTGAAAAAGAAAAAAAAAAGACAACCATGGAAGCTAGTACTGATGAGAACCTTATTTTCTTTCTCTTCATCTCCAGGATGACAAGGAAATTGACCTGGAGCACCTCCATAGACGTGTAAATAGCTTGTGCACAGATGACGACAGTCCCCATAAACAGTTTTCCACGTCGTCCATTGACTTGACCCCTCTGGACATTGACACTTTGCCAACACGCCAAGCACTGGAGCAAATCAGTGATTTCAGGAACACTCACATCACCACCACCACCTTCATCCCTGAGCACATCCAGACTCTTAGCCGTACACTGTCCGCTAAAGCCGCCTCCGGCTTCGCTTTTGGCAACGTCCCTGAGCACCGAACCGGCCCTTTTAGGCACAGGGCACCGAACGGGGGCTTTTTCAGGAGTCCTATCAAAACCATGTCATCTATCCCTTACCAGCCGACCCCCACGCTGGGGCTCAATCTGGGTAATGACCCGGACCGAGGCACCTCCATCTGAGCTGCAGACATTTCCTCACTGTAACCATCCTTAGGACTCCCTTGGCTGGAGCAACTGTAATATTTGTGGGACTAACATGGATGTAACTTTTTATTACAAAAAGAAAAAAAAAAGGAAAAATTCAGGATGATTAGTAACAATTCTAGATCTTTCTCCCCGTCTCCACCCCTACCCCATTTCTTGTCTCTTATTTTCTTTCTCTTTCTTCCTCCCCTTCTTGTCTATTTCTCCCCCCTCCTTCCCTTTTATTTTTTTTTTCTTTTGGCCTTACTCAACTTGTTCTCCCTTCCCCTACCCTCCTCCAGAATATTCTATGCTAGGATCCCATTAGTTGGCTTCACATAGACTTTATTGAGCGCAGAACCTGTGTCCTGACTGTACTTACCCAAGTATGAGCAGGGTGCATTGGACACAAAAGGCCTCTTCTGTACCGTTGTTTTGGGGGGTTTTTTCCTCTCTATTTTGAACATTACAATTGCAATAACTTCCATCTGTTTTGCGTTCTTTGACGACACCCATGCAATGTCTCACTGCTATTGTGTCTCCTTTCACCTGTGGGCCACAGGAGACCCCCCGCAGTGTCTATAAAAAGAAAACGTTTAAATAATAATAATAAAGACGATTCTAAGACCAGGCCACAGAAATGAAAGTGCAATTGTGTAGGATTGCAAAAAAACAACAACAACAACAACAAAGAAAAGAAAAAGAAAAAAAAGCCATTAATATGCCAGTCAAGACTACAGTTAAAATTACTCTTACACTGCAACAGTGTATACAACCTTTATGTGATTGTACAGTATTAAAAGTTTCTTTTTTTCTTATGTACAGTAAACTTTATCATATGGCAAAAGCCTCTATTGTGTTAAATAACTTAGTATCTCATATCTATACATATATATGCACCTATATAATGTGTATATATATAAAAGGCAGCCTTTGCTACTGCAATTCATTTAATAAAGCTTTAGTTTAAAAAGAAAAATAAAACCCACACAAGTGTTGCATACCGAAAGTGTGTGTCTTTTCACTTAGAAAAGACAGATTGCTTTAATGTTATTTTGACTTACATTGTTTGGCGAGAGAAACTATTTTATACTTTTGTTATTAAAACATCCAGGGTGATTTAATCTTTGTTCCTAGATATAACTCATTGGAATGGGTTTTGCATTTGTTATTTGGCGGTGTGTAATGAGAATCTTGACCGTTTTACTTTTAATTACTTAACTAAATGGAAAATGCTATTAGCTGTACCAGAGGCACCAACCCTAGCAAGTTCTCTTGTGACTTTAAACAGAGGTCAAAGAAGGTTCAAAATCTTCCTTCAAAGCAGTAAGCCAATCAATAGAATAAATTGTAGTTGGGGAGGAGTGAGAGCCCTTTAAGACGTATTGATGTGGCCTTACTTATGCCCTACATTATTCTAAAGCAAAAGTGAAGTAACCACAACAGACTCTCATCCCCACCCCCTTTCCCTTCAGTTCTATTTGGAGGTGTTACATTTGGTGTTTTGCTTTGTTTTGTGTTTACATGTGTGCCACCTGTATCCAGAGGAAGACAGGGGGGGAAAAAAAAAGAATCTGTGCCTCTCTGTGTACACCGCTTTCAAAGTAGCATTCTTATCTGTCAGAAATGTAGACTTGAATTCCGTTTAGAACCCTTCAGTGCAGATAGCCCTGTGCTTTTACACAGCCATACTCTTATTTTAAGCAAATTCATTCCCATGGCTGGCATTGATCCCAGGGGTCCACCTTTGCTTTAGGAGCAACTGAGAGGTATATTCTTATGGTATATTCTATTTTGATGCTATTTCTGTGCTGGGGAGCATTCTTGTACTTGTCATTGTTTTGTACCAAATTTTCAAATATTGTCTACTGTGTAAGGCAGAAAATTTTTCTTATCATGCAAAAAAAAACTTGCGTTTCCAAGACAACAAGTACCTGTGAGCATGCGTACCTTGTTCCCCCTTGTAACACACATGAGCTCATTCACAACTGACTTTTACTTTCCAAACAGAAGACACACCAGATGTTGCAGTGATGTTAGCGATCCACAACACTGTTAACCATGTACAGTATTTACAAATAGGCTCATTTTGATGTATTGCCTATTATACAAGTACACAACTCATTTAGGAGGCCTCCATCAGGAGTGGCAGAGCTTTCTGTGTATAATTTGTCTACATAATTTGTCTAATAAAATGTTCTCTAAACGTGTTCTCATCCGATCGAAGTCTTAACTGTAAGATTTGAAAATGCTGACTCTCTGATCTGCCTGGATTTTTATAAAACATTCAAGTGTAAAACACATGAAGTTATACTAGCAGAACTGTGCCAATATGTGGATGGCTTCCTGAAAAAAAAAAAGAAAAAAGAAAAGCCAAGGAATGCTAAACCACTAAAAGACCACTTTCCTGCTATCCAAGATGATACGAACCAACATATTTGTTTTTCTCCACGGATGTCTCTGTGAGCACTTTTTTGGGGGAGAGATTTATCCTGTGTCATGGAAACAATGTAACAATTACATAATGGCAGGATGAGAATTTGTCACATCAAAAGGAAAATGAAAGTTGATTATCAAACTTAGGTCTTATTAAAATCGCTTTGCTGTTAGAGAAATAGTCATTATGCTGAACCTTTTTTTTTTCTGAAGTTGGAAATTCAGTTAGGCTCCAAATTAAATTCTCATATACTATTATTTCATCATCTAAACAACAGTATTTAATCCTTCTAGCATTTAACTCATTCAGTGGCTATATAAATACATCTGAGATTATATTTAGGAAATATAATTTATATTTAAATCTCTGCTGTTCTAAAATCCCATCCAGAGATCTCTTAATGTTGGAAGTAAAAGGATCTTCCCACTTCTAGATCTTCCCTCCTTATTTGATACAGAAGGGAAGACAGAACGTTGAGAAGCTGTGACTTATCCAAATGTTTGACTCCTAAGACTTGTAGGTGGTGGTTTTCTTTGTCTTTAGCTCTGGGACACATCATTCAGAGCCACACAAGACTTCACAGACCAGAAGTAGCAATGACTGAGATACACCCATGTTTCCACTTGCTACTTGGGACCACATGGTTCACATGACCACACCTTCTGTGGTGGGATAGAGAACCTCACATTTGCAGCTAGCGTGGGACTGAGGCTGGCTCCTCTCTCTGACAGGGTTGGCCCTGGCTCATGTCATTTAGACCAACCTTGTCATTTCAGTCCAAGACAAACTCATGTGATCTGATTCTATTCAAATATCCAGTTTATTCCCTTGGTGAATCATTAAGGTATCTGGTCATTACTATTAACCACATCAGAGCTTATGCCCAGATTTTGGTTTACTTCCACATACACAGAGAGTTGTAAGATCTCCTTTCTTCATATATATATATATATATATATATATATATATATATATATATATATATATATATTAACCTACAGGCAACTTGTTCTATTCTTAATTATGTTATTTTTTTCATCTTCTTTAGTTTGAGATTGATTGTCACTTGAATAAATACTTTTAAAAATAGACTTTTCTGAGTGGTACTTTCCTTCCTCAATTAAAAAGAAAAATGAAAAGGTCCATTAACCCATAAAACCTTTCTAAGCCACACAATTGAACTATAAATGATTGCTACCTTCTAATCAGAATTTTCTGGTGAGGCATGTTGTAGATTGTAAGTCTAGTAATGAGGGCAGAGCTAAAGGGTTTATGAGTTAGTAAACATGTGGTTTACCCTTAAATATAAATCTCAAAATGATTGATAATACAGTGGGCTCACTCAAAGTTGGCTTCTTCCTAGGGAAATTTCTTTCTCCCCCGCCCCCCATTGGTCATGAGGCTTGAACCCAGGGTTTGGGCACTGTCCCTGAGCTCTATCCACTCACAGCTAGTGAGTGAGTCATAGCACCAGCACCTCTTTCCAGCTTCCTGGTGGTCAATTGGAAATAAGAGTCTCATGGACTTTCCTGCCCAGGCTGGCTTTGAACCATGATCCTCTGATCTCAGCCTCCTGAGTGGCGAAGATGACAGAGTAAACCACAGATGCCTGGACATTTTTATTTCTTAAGGCTACCCTCATGACCAGATATTAGGGAATGTCTAACAACTCCATAATTGTCATTTTAGTTAATGTTAGTAGGAATCTTCTCAAACACCACTTTAGCAGACACTCTTTTTTTGGGGTGGGGGGATCCAGTCGTGGGGCCTGAACTTTGGGCCTAGGTGCTGTCCCTCAGCTCTTCAGCTCAAGGCTAATGCTTTACCACTTGAGCCACAGCGCCACTTCCGGCTTTTTTCTTTTTGCTTATATGGTGCTGAGGAATCGAACCCAGGGCCTCAGGCATGCAAGGCAAGCGCTCTACTACTGAGCCACCTTCCTAGCCCCTTAGCAGACACTCGTGTGAGGTAGTATTGGTGCGTTTCCTTTGGGTAGAAACAACTTCTCTGACACAGAAGCATTGGAAAGTAAAGCTAGGACTAACATTAAATTTGGTAAGTTTAGTTAAATTTCATTAGTGTTTACAGAGAACCTATGATGCGAAGGCTAAGCTATTGGTTTAGCAATGGATCTGAATGTGCTCTACTGCCCACTCCCCACTCCCAGAGATATGCAGGATACAGAGACCCCTCAAGCCAATACAGTCTTGTGGGGAGAACGGAGTCTGCCTTCCTTGGTTCACTACCTCCACCAAGAAGTCATGGAAATTTTCCAAGATGCCAGACCATAAATCCATAGGAAAATAACCTCAAAGCACAAGCTATTATACAGCTCTCTATTTGTATCACTACCTGTATATCATTCAGAAACAGTCTCTGCCCACAGGTTTCCAATCAGAATCAGGTGCACCACAATAGCATCTTTTCTCTCCAGGCATGTCTAATTAGTCTTGATCAAATGTCACAAGGTTCCAAACAACTCCTCCCAAGCAGGCATATTCTGGCTCTTATTCTTGTTGCAACTAAGCCTCCAGGCCACCTTTTCTGCCATCTGTAATAC